GAACCGGCCCACGAGGTCCAGCACATCGGCACTGCGTTGGAGTGAACGCTCAATCTGATCCCACACATGTTTTCTTGGAGAAGGACCTCACGGGAGGCTCTCGACATGATGCAGGCAGTCCACATTCACACGTGACGTGTTGCTGAAGGACTGGACACGGTGCTGTATAAAAATAAGACATGCAGACTCAAGATGTCCCTGACAGGTCTGTGATGTCAGGGTCTCCTCCAAATCATTATCAGAGGTGTTCTCTTAACGTTGCACACAAGCACCATGGTCATCTGTAGAAAAGCAGAGCAGAAATTCTTCTCTGGAAAGGATACATGTTCAATGGTTGTGATCATCTACGCCTCCCATGGCACAACTCCAAACACAGCTGTCTCTGCTCTGGTGTTAATAGCATCCCGCTCCATGGAACGATGAACCTTTAGTCTGTCTGATGTCAGTCATGATGTGGAATGATACAGTGTAAAATGTAAATGGTAAATGGACTGTACTTATATAGCGCCTTTCTGTCTTATCAAAACACTCAAAGCACTTTACATTACAATCTGTGCCCTCATTTACCTTTTCATACAGCCCTTTACTACAGTATATCTCTACAAAGCTAACTGAACAATCATTCTAAAGAGACTAATCAGTGCGTTATCACATTCATACACTGATGGGACACACATCGGAGGCAATGAGGGGTTCAGTCAGTGGTGTAGTCTACGTGATATGCAGGTATACTGAGTATATTCACTAAAAAAGCTTAAGAATTTCAGTATACCCACTTAAAAGTGCCCAATAATACATAACATAACGTAACAATCTGTCTGTATGCAGCACTTGTTTATTACATTCGCTTATCCAGCGAATTATTGTATAATTAATACTTCTGTACTCACTATTTAATACTTGAACATTTTTTGCTTTGATGCTGTTGTATAAATTCTATAACATGTTTTTAATACAAAGCCAACTGTTGTACAAAGTTTGTTGTTCATTTATTCAAATATAAGCATCAGAGAAATTTGGAAATGTTCAATATGCTTAAAAATCAAAAATAAATTGAGGATTACATTGTACTAAGCAGTGTACTTTGGTTTCTAAGCACAGTATACGGACTGACCGCGATAAAGTTTGTTTTACGTTGGATATTCACGCTCTGTGGCTTCAGCGGTGTCCAACATTCGATGTAAAACTAACTTTACCGCGGCATACCCACTACAAAAATGTAGACTACACCACTGGTTCAGTGTCTTGCCCATGGACACTTCGGCATGCAACTGCTGGTGGATTTGAACCCCCTACTCTTGCATTAGAGGACAACTGCTCTAACCACTCAGCCACAACCTCCAGGGTGTTGCAATTAGTCCAACGTGTGTGTCTGAAAGACAGGTGCACCTGTTACATTATTTTTGTAATGCTTAACACACAACACAGCATGACAAACCTGGTCCAACTTGGGGAAGTGGATTATTCATTATGGTTGTTATGATGGTCCCCTGTACTGATTAGTTCCATTGCTGGGCCACTGTGATACCTGTATGCACCACATGTTGGGCAATTGCACAACTTAATCGTGCGGCCTCATTCAAACCACAAAGCGACCACAAACTGTCAATGGTTGGTAAAGATACGTTGTAGGATGTCACTGAGCTGCGACTGTTAATGATTGGCAAACAGCATTCATGAGGGAGTCTCTGGATTATCTCGCAACATTTGAGAGATTCTCATTTTAAGTTGCTGAAGTTCGAAATCTTCCATCCATCCATCCATCCATCCATCCATCCATCCATCCATCCATCCATCCATCATCTTCCACTTGTTCCGAAGTCGGGTCACAGGGGCAGCAGCTTGAGCATTCATTCATTCAACCTTTATTTATACAGGTTAATCCCATTGAGCCTCGGGGACTAATTTATAAGAGAGACCCGATTGAGGAGGGAGGTAAATGGACTGCACTTATATAGTGCTTTTCTATCTTATCCAGATACTCAAAGCGCTTTACACTACAACCTGTGGCCTCATTTACCCATTCATACAGCACTCTACTAGATCTCTACAAAGCTAATTGAACAAATCATTCTAAAGAGACTAATCAGTGCTTTGAGATCACATTCATACACTGATGGGACACGCATCAAAGGCAATGAGGGGTTCAGTGTCTTGCCCAGGGACACTTGGGCATGTGACTGCTGGTGGATTTGAACCCCCAACTCTTGCATTGAAGGACGACTGCTCTAACCACTCAGCCACAGCCGAGGTCCAGACATCTCTTTCCATGGCCTCTTCCAGCTTTTCTGGGAGGACTCCAAAGCGTTCCCAGGCCAAGCAAGAGACGTAGTCTCTCCAGCGTGTCCTGGGTCTTCCCCAGGGTCTCCTCCCAGTCAGTCATGCCCGAAGCACCTCCCTAGGCAGGTGCACAGGCTCGAAATTCTTGTTGCTTGAATTTTGAACATGTTCTCTCAAAGTACTGTAGTTACAGAGTCATTGCAGACGTCTTGATTCCATCCCAAACCCTTCCTGATTTTGTCTCGGGCATCTCCAACCCATTTCAAGAGCTGTATTTTGACACCTGCAGAGGAGCAGGTGTCTGAAGTGTCATGCCAAAATGCACGCCAACAGATAAAATCATAAATGTGTTGGCCTCTCCAAGGTGGGAACAAAACTGGTTGTTTAAAGTGTGGCTGCATGGCTTACCGCCCACCTGGCTGCAAACACTCAGAATTCAGTAATACATATCTGAATGTTTGCAATGTTATAACAATATTGAGTAAAGTTTGGATCAGCAACTAGTCTCCAACAGTTGCAGCCCAGTGAGATACCACCTTAGTGCTGTCTCCTGACCTTCATTCACTGATTTGACTGCCAGAGGCTCCAGCAACGGTTGAATGATATCGCCCCACTCATCTTACACCAACTCATGCCCTCAGGTGCCTGTTTTAAACAGTTAATTAAATGATTTACGTGTTCATTGCTGTTCTTCATTTGGACCAAAGTCCATCCAAAACAGGTTAATTTCTTCTAGGTGCTAAACATTTCTTGTCCAAGGGTGTAAAATGTTTGATACTGGAAGACAATCTGTCTTGAAATTGAACTAATTCTTGTTGAACTCTTCTGTTCTCATTGTATCTGCTCCCCTTCGGGTCAATCCTGAGGAAACATGGTATTTCGTTTCACTGTTACGCCGATGATTCTCAGATTTATCTGCCTTTAAAACCAAACAGTTCCTGCTCCATCCACCCTTTGCTAAAATGTCTTGATGACATCAAGACTTGGATGGCTGCAAACTTCTTGAGTTTTAATGATCAGAAGACTGAGGTCATTGTGTTTAACCCAAGCTCTACCACTGTCACTGATCCTGTAAACCTGCACTCCCTTCAGCCTCATCTAAAGCAGTCGGTTACCAATCTCGGGGTAGTGTTAGACTCGGACTTTAAGTTTAATAAACAGATCAACTCTGTTCTACAAAAAGCTTATTTCAGCTGAGGCAAATAGCTAAGCTTAAGTCTGTTCTGTCCAGATCCGACCTTGAAAAACTAGTCCATGCATTTATTACTACCCGGCTGGACTACTGTAACTCACTTCACTTTCACGTCTCCAGCTCGTACAAAATGCTGCAGCTCGGCTTTTAACAGGAACTCGCAGGTTTGAGCACATTACTCCGGTTCTGTCCTCTCTTCACTGGCTTTCTGTGCGTGTCAGAGTTGATTTTAAAATTCTCCTGCTGACATTCAAGTGCATTAACGGCCTTGCACCATCATATCTCTCTGACCTTCTTCATCCTTATACTCCTCCTCGGGCTTTGAGATCATCAGACCAGATGTTTTTGACCGTACCAAAAACCAACTGAAGCTCAGAGGAGATGGAGCGTTTTCAGTCGTGGGCCCTAAACTCTGGAACAATCTACCCATCAACATTCGACAGGCCACCTCAGTCTCTATTTTTAAATCTCTCCTAAAAACACATCTGTACTCATTGACATTTAACACAGGGTGATCGGATTTAGATCTAGTTTTTCAATGATGCTGATTCTGTTTATGCTTTTGTTATTATTCCTATTCAACACAAGGTCATCAGATCTGATTTAGTATTTCATTGTTTCTGACTGAGTTTATGCTTTTTGTTATTATTTCCTTGACTTTTGACACAACGTGATCTGATTTAGTATTTCATTGTTTCTAATTATGTTTTCGGTTTTATATTTTTATTCCATGTGCTGTAAATATATCTTGTTACTTTTTATTTGATGATGTGATATTTTTGTTAAGCACTTTGGTAACAGTTTCTGTTTTAAATGTGCTCTATAAATAAATCTGACTTGACTTGACTAATGGTTGCATCAACATTTCATACATTTTTGGTTTCCATTTAGACTTTTGTGAGATGACAACCTTTTATGGACCATTTTTAATTTTGCTGTAGCTGCTCAACATAAAGTCCGAGTTTTGCTTTCACTTGGAGGTACCAGTAAGTGACTACTCCTTTAATTCAGCTTAAAATGAAGTCAAACAGTTTTATCCAGACGTGACGTTCTCCCTAAAACTCTTATCAAAGAATGCTGGTCTTTAAAAGTATTATTTATTGTTCTTGACTTTGGTTGACATCATCCGTGTTGATAAGAAGTGAAGCAGAAATATGGATAATAGGATGATAAGAAAAATCCCCTGTTGTTTTCCATACCAGAACACAGTAGCTGTTTCATACCAAACAAAATGTCCCAGTTGGATCAGGACACCACACAGCCACACACCTTGTTGTCTTTTCCTGCTTTCAATAGTAGATGACGTTCCAGGCTGAAACATTATTTTGTTTTTCTGTCACTGTCTCCAAAACAATGTAATGGATATTCTTTTTTTGTGTGTTTGTAAAACTCATGTTTCAGCAGGCTGCCCGGTGCATTCCTTGTTCGGAGCTAACCAGCATCTTTAACGTATTAAACGGTTGTGATTTACTGATCTGGCAGCAGGCCTATCTCTTTGAATAAACTCTAGATTTGTTTCCTCTGCTAGGTCGGCAAGCTGATCCAGGAGGCAGCAGGGAAAAGTAACCTGAAGAGGGTAACTCTGGAGCTGGGAGGAAAGAATCCCAACATCATATTTGCAGATGCAGACTGTAAGTTTTCAAGTAACCACAAGAACCAAGAGTTGTAAAGGGCCTTTTTGATCAATATTTCTGTGTTACAAGTAAATGCTTTTAAAATGTCTGGAACAGGGGTCTGCAACCTTTATGATCAAAAGAGCCATTTCTGCCTATTTGTACACTAAATACAGTAAAATGTCTATGGAGCTGCAAAACCTGCTAAAACTGTGATTATCAACTGGTGGCCCATGGCCCACTTCAAGCGTGTTGGAGGGGGCTTTTCTGGCCAGTAGATGTGATATCATGAAACTAGAATATCAAATTATTATTAATATTTATTGATAGTTTTATATTTTAGGGCAAAAGAAAAACTGGATTTATGTAAATAAGAAAATAAACATTTTTTTAACCAATTTTATAAAAATTCAAACACAAATATGAGGTCATTTGTGAGTTTTCTTTTGAATTGTGGAAGTATAAAGTATCCTATTATGACGTAATAAAGCATAAAGTTAAAATTTAGGCCAGTTTGTTGGACATCTAATTAAATTTAAAAATGAATATAAATACTTAGACTTTTTTTCCTTTAATTTTTATTGTCAAGTTGACTCACCATATTTATTCTCAGCAACTTGCTTTAAGGTATTCCTCCCAAAACATTTGGTGGATTTGAGAAAAAGACCACACCATGAGACTGGACGAGAGGTAAAAGATGTGGCTAACAAACTGCTAGCATGATGCAGTCAAGTTTTACTCCTTGTGTTAGTACTAGTATTCACATGTTGGCAAAAGAAATGACCAGAAAACTGCTAAAACTAGCTATTTCTTGTTGTTGGTATGACCAATAGACTTCAGTTTTATGTTAATTTTGGTCAAAACTTAAGAGCCACTGCAGAGAGACCAAAGATCCACAGGTTGCAGACCCCTGGTCTGGAAGTTCATGAAATTTTGGATGTTCACCAGAAGTGTAATAATTTATATGTTTACATTGATGCCCAGTGAAAATAGAAAGTGGTGGGTTTTTTTTTTTAAATGACCATTTTCACTTCATTCCCCTCAAATGTATTCAGAAATAGCTTAACACTTTGAAGTGAATCTAAGCAAAACTCCACAATGCAGCATTTATTCAAACCACTTATGAAGCTGATTTTCTATTCTTCCTTTCAAATGATCTACAGATGGGTCAAGCTCACCAGTGGAGCTGGTGTCATTACAGAACCCACAGTTTATGTTTTGACCACCCGCTCCCATCACAAGTAACATTTCAGTGCGGAAAATAAGTATTTGAACACCCTGCGACTTTGCAAGTTCTCCCACTTAGAAATCATGGAGGGGTCTGAAATTTTCATCTTAGGTGCAGATCCACTGTGAGAGACATAATCTAAAAAAAAAAAATAATCTGGAAATCACAATGTATGATGTTTTTAAATAATTTATTTCTGTGTTACTGCTGCAAATATGTATTTGAACACCTGTGAAAATCAATGTTAATATTTGGTGCAGTATCTTTGTTTGCAGTTACAGAGGTCAAAGGTTTCCTGTAGTTCTTCACCAGGTTTACTGCAGCAGAGATTTTGGTCCATTCCTCCACAGATCTTCTCTAGATCAGCAGGTTTCTGGGCTGTCGCTGTGAAACAGAGTTTGAGCTCCCTCCAAAGATTTTCTGTAGGGTTTAGGTCTGGAGACTGGCTAGGTCACTCCAGAACCTTGATGTGCTTCTTACAGAGCCACTCCTTGCTTCTCCTGGCTGTGTGCTTCGGGTCATTGTGATGTTGGAAGAACCAGCCACGACCCATCTTCAATGCTCTAACTGAGGGAAGGAGGTTGTTCCACAACATCTCACAACACATGGCCCCGGTCATCCTCTCCGTAATACAGTGCAGTCGTCCTGTCCCATGTGCAGAAAAACTCCCCCAAAGCATGATGCTTCCACCCCCATGCTTCACAGTAGGGATGGTGTTTTTGGGATGGTACTCATCATTCTTCGTCCTTCAAACACGGCGAGTGGAATTAAGACAATAAATTTCTATTTTGGTCTCATCTGACCACAGAACTTTCTCCCATGACTCCTCTGGATCATCCAAATGGTCATGGACAAGCTTCAGACTGGTCTGGACGTGCGCTGGTTTAAGCAGGGGAACCTTCCTTGCCATGCATGATTTTAAACTGTGAGGTCTTAGTGTATTACCCACAGTAACCATGGAAACAGTGGTGCCAGCTCTCTTCGGGTCATTGACCAGCTCCTCCGTGTAGTTCTGGGCTGATTCCTCACCTTTCTTAGGATCACTGACACTCCACGAGGTGAGATCTTGCATGGAGCCCCAGTCCGAGGGAGATGGACAGTCATGTTTAGCTTCTTCCATTTTCTAATAATTGCTCCAACAGTTGATCTTTTTTCACCAAGCTGCTTGACAATTGCCCCGTAGCTCTTTCCAGCCTTGTGGAGGTCTAGGGTTTTGTCTCTGGTGTGTGTGGACAGCTCTTTGGTCTTAGCCATGTTAGTAGTTGGAGTGTTACTGATTGTGTGGGGTGGACCGGTGTCTTCATGCAGCTAACGACCTCAAACAGGTGCTTCTGATTTAGAACAATAAGTGGAGTGGAGGTGGACTTTTTAGAGGAGGACTAACAGGTCTTTGAGGACCAGAATTGTTGCTGATTGGCAGCTGTTCAAATACTTATTTTCAGCAGTAACACACAAATAAATTATTTAAAAAATCATACATTGTGATTTCTGGATATTTTTTTTTAGGTTATGTCTCTCACAGTGGACATGCACCTAAGATGAAACTTTCAGACCCCTCCATGATTTCTACATGGGAGAACTTGCAAAGTTGCAGGGTGTTCAAATACTTATTTTCCTCACTGTTTCTGACACGAGGACCAATGAGGGGTGCAGAGGGTGCTGCAGCACACCCCGGTGGATAGCAAAAGACATGGATGCTCTCTAAATGTAGGAAAATAAAGAAAATATGTTAACTGCAATAACTTGTAATTTATATAATTAAATGACATTGATGTTTTGCTGCCAGTAAGTTATGGAAATATGGCGTTCTGAAGAAAAGTTGCTCAGTGATTGTTAAAAATGTCTTGGAGAGTCTCAGAGAAGGAACTTTTTCAATCAGTGGTTTCCAAAATTAAGGCAACAACGCTGAACCAATGTCACAAAAGTTTTAAATTACATTTAAAAATCTTTTGCATACAATACTACATGACATTTTGTACCAGAGTTAATAGTCAATAAATAAACAAAGACACTAAAATGATGGTTGGAGCTGTTAGTTTGCTACAACTCTTTAACTTGATTGATCTAATCACCATTTTTTAATGTTTCTTCCAGGGATAGTTCAGGTTGTAGAGTTATTTAACTGGTTTGAAGCTGAACGGGTTGGGAACCAGTTTTAAATTGTTCAGTTTTGCTAATGAAAGTTTTAAATAAACGCCATGTCCATTTTCATGAAACGTGCAAAAAAAAAAAAAAAACAACCCACATATTTTGTATTATAGGACCTACAAACAATTATATATA